TTTGTGAAATACCTTCCATATTTCCCATGTGGGGTCTTTGAACACCCAGTGCATTTTGCACTCACAGAACTTCTCCACTTCAATCAAATCCACCAGGGCTGAATGTAGATTTTTTTTTATGGCTTTGCATAACCAAATTGTTTCCAAGTGATGTGAGTGCCTTCATCTTGGTTGAACAGAGAATGGCCTGTGCTTTTTAAACCGAAAGCCTCCTCCCCTCCTGGCAAACCATCTTACTCTCAGGGGAAACAGGACAATTGACCAATTTCTCCCACGCATGTTGGCATATTTTCCAGTGCGTCAGATTTTAAATGCAAAGGGAATTAAAATAATGTTGAGCTATTGTGTCCGTTACCCATGGCGATAAACTATGCGAGAGATCCTGTCTCAAAAAGGCAAGGATTGGGGATGCAGCTCAGTGGATGTTCTCAATCTTCCAGTGTGAGAGGCTGGGGAGTATAATTCAGTGTGTTCAAGAACCTACCTAGAATCCCCTCCTCCCCATAGGGGGCTGGGGTGTGGCTCAATGGTAGAGCACCTGCCTAGAATCCCCCAGTGAGGGGCTGGGGTGTGGCTCAGTGGTAGAACCCTTGCCTAGAATTCCCCAGTGAGGGGAATTGAAACGTGTCTCAATTGTAGAGAGCTTACCTTGAACCATGGTTCAACAGTAGAACACTTAACTAGAATCTAACAGGGAGGGGCTGGGATGGAGGGCATCACTCAGTAGGATGTCCTGTACTTAATCCCCAGCTCCCACCACACAAACAGAAACCTTTATGTCACATGACTGTGCACACGTTAGACCCACATGACTAAGTCATAAATTCTGGTGGCAGAGCAACCTCCCTCTCCTCGCCATGTGCATGTCTCTGTGCCCTTCTGGAGTCTCCGTGGGGTTTTAATGCTAGTCATGTCCTGAGAAATTGATTTCACCATCCACTTTCAGATCACAGCCTGCAGACTGGAAAATCTTGATTTGGCCCACTGGGAGCAGAAGCCAGAAAACCGGCCAGATCCTGATCGGAGCCTTGCTTGTTTTGTTTCGTCACCTGTTAGCCGTTTGGAGATGCTGTACCTCAGGCACGATTCCTTTTCTCAAGTGTAGTTCTGACTGGTTGATACTCAATTACCTTTATTGGTTGTTGTTTTTTGTTTTTGTTTTTTAAAAAATATTTATTTATTTATTTATTATGTATACAATATTCTGTCTGTATGTACACCTGCAGGCCAGAAGAGGGCACCAGACCTCATTACAGATGGTTGTGAGCCACCATGTGGTTGCTGGGAATTGAACTCAGGACCTTTGGAAGAGCAGGCAATGCTCTTAACCTCTGAGCCATCTCTCCAGCCCTTGTTTTTGTTTTTTGAGACAGGGCTTCTCTGTGTAATAGCCCTAGTTGTCCTGGAACTCACTCTGTAGACCAGGCTGGCCTCGAACTCACAGAGATCCACCTGCCTCTGCCTCCTGACTGCTGGAATTAAAGGCATATGCCACCACTGCCTGGCCACTCAACTACCTTAACCCTCACTCTAACCATTGCCTTTTAGGGGTCTGAATGCATTTGGGGGGGGAGGAAAAGGGGTATTTCACAATGTAGCCCAGGCTAGCCTTGAATATCGCTAAGGATGACCTTGAACTCCTGATCCTCTGCCTCCCAAGTACTAGGGTTATAAATATGTACCACCAAGTTGGCCTCCTGAATACATTTCTATCTGGGCCTTCTAGATCTGTCGAGTCCATTGCAAATGCATAAACTTATTCATGTATGCATTCCCTAGACACTGAATGAGTGGCTGTCCCTCACGTACCAGCTGTTGCTAACAGTGAAAATACAGCAGAGAACAGTCAAAAGCCATTTAATTTTTTATTATGTTTACTTAAAGAGGAAAAGGAGAGAGAGAGAGAGAGAGAGAGAGAGAGAGAGAGAGAGAGAGAGAGAGAGAATACATATGGAAGCCAAAGGACAGCTTAGAGAGTTGGTTATCTCTTTCCACCGAGTGGGTCTTGGGAATTGAACTCAGGTCCTAAGGCTTGGCAGCAAGCGCCTTTACCTGCTGAGCCATCCCACCAGCTCCCAAAATCATTGCCTTTATGGAACAGAGATTTTTAGAGAAGACAGATTCTTTTAGTTGTTAGTTTTGTTTTTTTCCTTTTTTATTGTTTTTATTGAGCTATACATTTTTCTCCACTCCTCTCCCTTCCTCCCCCTCCCATGACCCCCACGCTCCCAATTTACTCAGGAGATCTTGTCTTTTTGTCCTTCCTATGTAGATCCATGCATGTCTCTCTTAGGGTCCTCTTTGTTGTCTAGGTTGTCTGGGGTTGTGGACTATAGGTTGGTTTTTTTTTTCTTTATGTCTAGAAGCCATTTATGAGTGAACACGTACTATATTTGTCTCTCTGGGTCTGGGTTACCTCACTCACAGACCCTCACTATGGAGCCAAAGTCTGCCATGAATTCACTACGTAGCCCAGGCTGGCCTCCCACTAACAACAATCCTCCTGCCTTGACTTCCAAGCACTGGAATACAAATGTGTGTCATCATGACCAATATCTTATTTGATCTCTTTACAGTGCTGGGGATCAAACTCAGGGTCTTGTAACTGCGGGGCAAGTGCTCTACCACTGAGCTACCAGCCCAGCTTGAAACCTAGTCTCTGAGTGGTCTATTAGGTGTGGTGAGGCATTCCCTCACTCCAAGAACTTGAGAGGTAGGGGCAGGAAAATCAAGAATTCTGGGCTAATCTGAGCTACAAGGAAACCCAGTCTCCAAAAACTGAGAAAACAAAAATGAGGGCTGGAGAGCTGCCTTGGTGTTTAAGAGAGAACCTGAGTTCCATTCTCAGAAACCATGTCAAGTGCCTCATGACTACCTGTAATTCCTGCCCCGTGGGATTCAATACCCGCTTCTGGTCTCCTGGGGCACACATACCCACAGTACAGACACAACATACACACACACAGAGACATAAGTAAAAACAAATACTACCTAGACTAAGTAAGGGACTGGGGAGATGGCTCCGTGGTTAAGAACACTGGCTGCTCATCCAGAAAACCCGGGGTTCAGTTCCCAGAACCCACAGAGCAGTTCACAACCATCTGTAACTCCAGTCCTAGAGGGTCTGACACTCTCTTCTGGACTCCCTGGTCACTAAGCATGCTTATGGCATACACACATACAAACAGGCAAAGCACCTATATACACAAAATAATGTAATTTTTAAAAAAATTTTTAGTTAAAAGTAAACGAAGGCTTGGATTCCTCACTTGAGAGAGTGTGCCCAGTATGTAGGGAGCCCTGGGCTCCATCCACACCATCGCATAAGCCAAATGTGGCACTGCACACCTGTAACCCCAGCACTCAGGAGACGGAGGCAAGCAGAACTGAAGTCTGAAGTTCAGGGTAATCCTCCACCACATAAAGAGTTGAAGGATAATATGAGAGAAATGAGGCCCAGTCTCAAAATAAAAAATAGGGCAATTAAGGGCTGGAGAGATGGCTCAGAGGTTAAGAGCATTGCCCGCTCTTCCAAAGGTCCTGAGTTCAATTCCCAGCAACCACATGGTGGCTCACAACCATCTGTAATAAGGTCTGGTGCCCTCTTCTGGCCTGCAGGCATACAGACAGACAGAATATTGTATACATAATAAATAAATATTAAAAAAGGTTTATTTTTTAAAAAATAGAGCAATTAATTACTTATTTAAACTACGTGTGCGCATGCGCGCGCGGTTCCCATGTGGAGGCGATCAGAGGAGAAACCACGGGAATCGGTCCTCTCCTTTCATGGTCTGGGTCCAGGAGATCTACTTTAGGTCACCAGGCTTGGCAGCAAGAGTCTTTATCCACTGAATCTTTTCGATGGCCCGATCTTAGTGAAATTAAAGCAATAGAGGGATGGACAGGCTATGAGACATACTCAAGATTTTGGGTTTCACACCCTTGTCAGTATGAAGAAGAAGCATAACGAGCCCCTATCTAATAGAAGGGGACTAAGAATGTAAGATAGGCAGGTAGGACTATCCCCCTCCCAAAAAAAGTTTCCTGTCTGCCTCGCAGGTAGATTGACCCACCACATCCCCTCCTCCTCCCCAAGCATTCTGCCAAAGGACAAAACCACTAGTCAGTAACTTTAACCTAAAGGATTTCAAAACCTAGTGGGGGGTACATATTAGCTGAACAGCGCCCCCCCTCCCACCATGCAAGCCTAGGGTTAGAAACACTAGGGATGACTCTCATTCAGATTCAGGTCCGCTCCCCACCCCTCCCCCGCACTCTCCCCCCTCCCCGAGATCCACAGTTACTTCAGCAGCTTTGCACCCATGATCCCGGAGACCCGGGTCCTGGTTCCCGTGCCTGCCTTATCTCTCTCCTCCCTCACATTTTCCGCAGCAACAAAGCCAAACACAGTACCGGGGGGGGGGGGGGGCTTTCACGCTTCCATGCGTTTGGACACGGTGTTCCTTCTGCCTGGAAGGCCGCGCAGCTCTCTCTCTGAGCCGAGCCTCCCCCCCCCCTTTGCTCTCATTCAGCCCTCAGCACCCTTCCACAAGGACCCAGCACCCTCTCTATCTAACTCAAGCCTTGTCTTTTGCTTTGGCTTCGCTGCACGACAATCACCGATTCCTCTAAATCTCTCCCCTGGCAGGCTCAGGCCTTCTCCAACGCTGTAGTTGTTTGTGGAGGAAAGGGGTTGCCCGCTTGACACCCCAGAGAAAGCGCCTAATCCTGAGTTTGAGCGACGACAGAGCATGCACCTAAGCTTAGGACGGCTCCAAATGTGTCCCATAAGGGTTCTTCTGTGTCCCTTGGGAACCCCGAATCTTGCATTCCGGGTGCACCGTGGCGCAGCAGCCCAGCCCCCTGGCTTGACATCAGCAAGCTGGAGTAGTCCAGGGGGAAGGGCCGCGTAAAATCGCGAGTTTGGACTACAAATCCCGATAGGCATCGCGTGGCCCCGCGGCTGGCGCCTGCGCAGCACGGGCCCGGCGTTTGAGTGGCAAGTTGTTTGTTACAGCGAACACCAGCTGCTGCTGCGCCGGGCGCCGCGCTCCGCCGGGCGCTGTTTGCTTGTCCACCCCGTAGCTCGCTGTACCCCGCAGGTCCTCCCCAGGCCTCCTTTTTTTGCAACTTGCCAAGCTTCCTTTTTTCTGGATCGAGTACAAATCAGTCCAGCACCGAGCACCGGGCCCCCTTCCCTGGGCCGGTTGCCCCAAGGCTTGGGGCGCGCAGGGGGCGGGGGCCGCTGCTCGTCCCCGTCCCCCCCCCTCCCCGCAACTCGGGCCACCGCGGATGATCCGCTGTGGAGGAGCCCTGGGCAGACGATGGAACTGCACATTCTGGAACACCGGCTGCAAGTTGCCAGCGTCGCCAAGGAGAGTATCCCGCTCTTCACCTACGGCCTCATCAAACTTGCCTTCCTGTCTTCCAAGACCAGGTGAGAGAAAGAGAGTGTGGGGAGAGGGGATGGGGGGGGCGCATGGTACCCGCCCCGGGACAGACAAAGAGGCGCACCCCGGGGGGACGCAGTGCAAAACAACTTCATCGCTCCCCCACCCCCCGGGATCTCTGCCATCCTCCTGCATCGGACAAAGCCACCCCTGTGCTCTCTAGTTGGGGGTCCCTTCCACCCAGGTCCCCCCCACCCCACTGCGCCTCCCAACTGCTGCCACCAACACCCAACCCTACCCCCCCCATCTCTGTCCCTTCCCCGAGATCCTGAGTAACCTCCCCAAATGGCCTCTGATGCATCCTTGAATGAATGAATGAATGAATGAATGAACGAACGAACGAACGAATGAATGAATGAAAAACAGGTGTGGGGATCCGGAGGTGGAAATTAACAAACTAAACATGCCCCATCCCCCCATCCATCCACCACCACTCCCCTCCTCCTGGTTGGGCCGGCCCCCCTGTAGCCACTGGCAAGCGGGGAGGGATGGCGCTGAGCTCGTCTACCCCAGAACAGAAAAAATCATAAAATCATTAGTAGATGTTTATCTCCAGGTGCCTGCGAGGGGAGAGAGGAGGTGCAAGCAACGGGGGAGGGGCTGCAGGGCCAGGGTCGCTGGTTTCTTTTCTCTTTGGGGGTACAGCGAAGTGGGAGGGAGGGGGGATTTTGAACCATGGAAGGGGAGGAGCAGGCGTGTTTATGGATCTTCCTGGAGGCTGGTCTTGGATGTTGCAGGGGGGGGGGGAATAGTGGAAGGCCTTGGGAGGTAAGAAGAAAAAGAAAAAAAAATTTAAATCTTGGATTTTTCATATTGCTGGGTGTGCGTTTGACTTCATAAACTCCTGTTGGATTAGAGTCGGCTTCCTTTTTTTTTTTTAATTGCCCTTTTCCCCATGTGGAGTGGGAATTAGAGCAAGCAACGGTTAACTTAAACCTCCTTCGCTTACCATTTTGATGGGGGGGGGCGTCAAGGCGAAGATGTTTCAACCTCCCTGTCTTGTACAGGAATGGGTACTTTACAAGTGAAGATTAAGTTAAATTGACAGCACACACACACACACACACACACACACACCTCCTTTCTTCCTAGGCTGTCTTGTCTCCTATGGGGTTGAACTCAGGGGAAAGAGCCTGTTAAAAGTTCTTGCTCAGGGACTTGACTTCAACGTTTTGGAGCTTGCAGGGCTATTGTTTGGAAGATGAAGCCAGCTAGGTAGCTTTACATCTGTTTACTTTCTTCTCCGAGGGCTGTTCTCTCTGTGGGGACCCAAGGTTTCACCTCCCTTGTCTGAGGGTAGAACCCCTTGCTCCTTAGATGGCCCCACGTAAATCATTAAACAGGTCATTTGAAAACAAAGCTAACAGCGCAGATTCTGAACACTCTCTCTCCCTCACCCCCAAGTGCAAAAAGCCCCTCTCTCTGTCGGCGCCTTCTAATCCCTACCTACATTCACTTGCCCTCTGCCCACCCCCAGGCAATCCCTAGGACCCAGAGGCTGAAGGGAATGGAGTCCCAACTTCTGGCCCCAGCAGCCTCCGACAGCCCTCTGGTTCCTCCTTTCTTTCTCAGGCTGGAGAAAAGAGGGCTTCACGGCAGACACTCCTTAGAAAGACAGGAGGAAGGCTGCCTCTGGCTGTTCCTTGTGACTTGGTGAAGGGACTGGCCTTTTTATGGGCATCCCTCATCTGCGGGGCTGCTCCCAGGGTCCAAGTTGAAGGTCTCAAATTAAGACCCAGAGACAAGCTCACACTGGCTTACTTCACCACAGGGAAACCTTGTCCCCTTGAAAGGTGGGTACCCCTCTTCCCTTCCAGGATAGGCCCAAGTGACCATTTGCAAGATGACTGAGAGGTCGAAGGTCATCTCCTTGTCTCCAGGCACTGACTCTAGAAACCGCTGAGTGTAGCCGGGTCTGAGGACTGACAGCCCGCCGCCCTTATGCACTCTGAGCCCAGGCGTGGCTTCGTGTTGGAATTAGCCCCGGTGGCCCAGGCCAGGTTGCCGTTCTCTCTCTCTCTCTCTCTCTCTCTCTCTCTCTCTCTCTCTCTCTCTCTCTCTTTCTCTCTTCGTCCCTCCATGAAATGGACATAGCACAGCCCCGCCTACTTCTTTTTCAAAAGAACTGCTTGCTGGTGGTGGGTCATTCAGTTCATGCAAAAGCAGCTGTTCAATTATTCACAGCATGAACCATACAGGTAGTAAGTAGATCTTGATTCTTCTCCCCCACCATGTTGGTCCAGATGCCTGTTAGCATCTACCTCCCCGCAATGGGGTATCCCCAGAACATCTCACTGCCTGTTTAAAAGAAACAATCACTGTTTCTACTGGGCCAGGTCCTCGCTGTGACATTCAAGGCCTTTTGAGGAACCTGGATCCAGAACGCTTGTCTCTGCCTTGTCTTTACCTATCCCTCCCCACCCCCAAGAGGAGATAAACTAGTAACACCCACGGGTGGCCTGCTTTCGCGCCCCTCTTCCCTCCTGTATGTCGTTCATCTCTTCCTGGAATGTCCCCTCCACCTCTGTCAATTCCACTTCAGTCCTCAAGATGATGACATCACCCTGAACCTCCCCAAGCACTCCCCTGCCTCCACCTCCTAGCAGACTTAGTCACTTCCTCTCTCTTTCTCCTCTCTCTCTCTCTCTCTCTCTCTCTCTCTCTCTCTCTCTCTCTCTCTCTCTCTCCTGATTTCTCCTCGGAGTTGTGCATGTTTATTATTGGAAATGTAATATTTTTTTAATTATTTATTTGGTGCCAGGGTGCCCTGAACCCAAGGGATGTAGAGACCGACTGTCCCTCCCTCTCCCTCTGCCTAGCTGAGAGCCCAGTCCAGGGAAGGAAAGGGCTGGAGTTAAGAAAACATGGTCCAGCAGGGTAGAAGAAAGGAGGCCCAGGCCTGGCAAGATGGCTCCGCAGTTAGGACTGATTGCTGCTCTTGCAGAGGATCTCAGTTCACTTCCTAGCGTGGCTCACAGCCTCCAGTAACTCTAGCTCCAAGGGATCCAGTGCCCTCTTCTGGCCTCTGCAGGTACCTGCACTCATGTGCGCATACCCACACACATGTATGTATAAATGTATAAATGTATGTGTATGATTTTGAATAAAGGAAGGGGGAATGGGAAGACTGGCTAGGGCTGCCTGGAAGCCTACCTGAATAAAGGAGTGATAGATGATATGCAGTATCTTAATAGGAATTAGGCAGGAGGGGGGGGGTCTAGTCTCTCTCTCTCTATAGAAATATAGACATGTAAATGACACATATCCAAGTGTGATACAGGGAATGACAACCCGGTGACAGAGCTTTTACAAAGAAGGAACTTGGAACTCGGGGATTAACTTGCTCAAGGTCATGAGATCAGTGATAGAGCCCAAAGATTTGAGTTTGCATCTCTGTGGATTAAGCTTTGTTTTTGCCAGCACAGGTTACAAAGGAGGCTCATAGCAGTGCCACCAGCCCTTCTGTTTGCAGTTGCTGTTCAGAAAGAGTCAAGAGCACAGGGTCAAACCACTGACCTCTGTGTTCCCTTGTACCCGCTTTCTTATTTGCAAGACTTAGGATTGGACTCGGCCTCCTGCATACAAGGCAAGCACATGCTACCACTGAGCCACACCTCTAACCCCTCACTAAGGGATTCTAGACAGGTGATCTACCATTGATCAACACCCTCATCCCCTCACTGGGGGATTCTAGGCAGGTGCTCTACCACTGAGCTACCCCTCTGGCCTTTTTCAATTTTTATTTTGTTTGTTTGTTTTTTTTTAAGATTTATTTATTTATTATGTATACAGTATTCTGTCTGCATGTATGCCTGCAGGCCAGAAGAGGGCACCAGGTCTCATTACAGATGGTTGTGAGCCACCATGAGGTTGCTGGGAATTGAACTCAGGACCTTTGGAAGAGCAGGCAGTACTCATAACCACTGAGCCATCTCTCCAGCCCCAGTTTTTATTTTGATACAGGGCCCTTATTAAGTTGCCCAGACTGACTCTGAATCACTCTGTAGCCAAGACAAGCCTGGACTCAGGAATTTTCTGCCTTGACCTCCTAAGTAACTGGGAAGACAGACCTGGGCTACTACATCCAACTTCAGTATTTTTCTGGCTCCTTAACCTAGCTGTACTTGGGTATATCTTTCCTCAGGGAAAGCTGGAGCAGGGTAGCGGGGCTCCACTTCTACAAGGGGTGTCTCCTGTTATTTAGCCCCCAGGTTGCTCCTCAGAGACACTATCAAATCCCTAGCTCTGTGCTTGGCTCTGAAATCTATCACATAGTCCCTAAGCACTTGCGGAACAGCATGTTCAGGGCAGGGGTGGGGACAGCCTGGCTCAAGTCCCCACACTTTCTATCCAGTCACGTTCATTCATTCATTCTCATTCCTATTCTGTTTCTCTCCTCCCCTCCTTTCCACCCCGCCCCCCATATCCTGGAACTCATTAGGCTAACTGCCCTTCTCCAGCCTTGAAGTCCTGAGAGTGAGCTTCCACCCCTGGCTTAGTTCATCTTAACTCTCGGCAGCTCAGTTTCTTCTCCTCTTTGCAGGCTGTTTGGCTAAGTCAAGTGCAGCTTTTAGAGCTGGGGAGGTGGCTCACTTGGTAAAGCACCTGTATGCAAGCATGAGCAGCGTGAGTTCGGATCTCCAGTGCTTATATTTAAAAAAATGGCTGGGCAGTAGTGGCGCACACCTTTAAGCCCAGCATTCACAAGGCAGAGGCAGGAGTTCGAGGCCAGCCTGGTCTACAAAGAGAAATCCTATCTTGAAGAAAAAAAATGGACTGGAGGCTAGAGATGGCTCAGTGGCCAAGAACACACATGCTCCTCTTGCAGAGGACCCAAGTTGAGTTCCCAGCACCCACATTAAGCAGTTCACAACCACCTGTAACTCCTGCTCCAGCAAATGTAAGGCCCTCTTCTATAACCTGCCATCATGTTTACACATGCGTGTGTGTGCCCCCCCATGCACATATACATAATTAAAAAGAAAAC